TTGCTGCATTGGCATTGTTGCCTCATTGGCATTGTTGCTACATTGGCATTGTTGTTGCATTGGCATTGTTGCTGCATTGGCATTGTTGCTACATTGACATTGCTGCTGTATTGGCATTGTTGCTACATTGACATTGTTGCACCGTCATCGCATACACCCTGTGGGCGGGTGTAGTACCAGCCCTAGCGGGGCTTGGTGAGCGCTGGATAGCGCGGGCACCATGCATAGCGTGTGGTGGGGGCTCCCACGAGGGGGAGCGGGAGAGTGTCAGCCCAGGGGCAGGGTTGCCCCGGGCCATGGCACTCTGGTTGACCCTGCAGACACGTGATCTCGAGTGTCCATACAGAGGCCCCCAGGTAGGGGGACTAGGGCGTGATCACGTGTCCAGGGAGAGCTCTCGAGAGGGAGCTAGAAGGCTCCAGAAGGTGGGCGGGGCCAAGGGCGGAGCGGCCCCGACCGTAGGGGGATATAAGGCGGGTCCCTGCATTCTACAAGCTGACGCTCCACGTCCACCAGCTGAAGCCCCACATCTCAAGCTCGAAGCTCTACGTCTTCGAGGCAAACACGTGGTCGCGGACCCGAGTAGGGACCCGACCCTTCGTAGCAGTAACTCCTCTGTATGGAGTTGTTTGCTGGGTGGTCACCACCCTAGGCTGTATCTGGTGACGGGGCAGTTACCCCTTGTGTCACGTGTTACTAATAAATGTGTTGCCTCTAAAAGGATCAACGTCTGCGACTCAGTTGGACTCGCTACATTTGCAAGGTGATTATTTCAATAATAGGTTTTTTTTATAAATGTGAGTTTAATGTAATGTTAACAAGATGATTATTCAAATAATAAGTTTCTATGTACGTGAGTCTAGCGAAAGAAGCAAGAAAGAGAAATATTAGTTGTCTGCACACAAACATTATAAATGTAATATTTGCAAGGTGATTATTGTAATAATTATATTAATATTTACCAAGTTAATTTAGAATTATTAGTAGTCAGCAGACAAACTAAAATATTGTAATATTTCCAAGGTGAATATTAAAAGAATAGGTTTCTATGTGCGTGAGTTTAGTGAAAGAAGCAAGAAATGGAAATATTAGTTGTCTGCACACAAACATTATTAATGTAATATTTGCAAGGTGATTTTAAAAATAATATGTTTCTATCAACGTGAGATTAGTGAAAGAAGCAAAAAAAAGCATTGCCATGGTGAGGCCTAGTCTCGTGCAGAGCCCCCTGGCCTCGCCTAGATTGCCCAGCCAGCCGAGGTGGCACCTTGGCAGGCTGGGGGCTGGGCCGCTACCCCCCCCACCATCCCCCCGCCCGTGCTACAATAATACTATCTAAGCACTATAATTAATACGGACTCTATAGTAGTAAGTGCACACATTGGGGTGGGGGGAACATGAAACTTTGAAGAATTTACCTCAGCGTTTATTTGCATTATGAAGGTGAAAGAGAAATCCCCACCCTCCACCGATGGCGCGTGTGCGTTGCCAGGGGCAACCCCCAGTCAGTCGAGCGGCGTAATAAATAAATATATCGCACTAAATCGCTAATTTAACTCATTTAAAATGGAGGGACGTGAAAAAGGGATAGCGCTTGCCCGCCGCGGGGCTTACGGCATGGTACCTGGCTAATTTATTTTTACGTAAACCCCACCGTTTGAGAGCCACATCCATCGCAAGTGTGCCAACACACACACACAGACGGACAGACAGACAAAAATGAGTTTTGTAGGTTAGATGTGTGTGTGTATATATATGTGTATATATATGTGTGTGTGTGTATTTTTTTGAAGCTCGTGGGATGTCGTCCTCGGAATTTTTTTGCGTGCAAATTCCACGATTTAAAGTAGTTGTGAGATTGCGTCGTCCATACTCGGTGATGCACGCCAGGGCTCTGAGAACATTCCACGGCATGGGCACGACGGTGGCGCACAGGAAACTGTCGCAGGTTGTTGCTTGTCGATGCTGAGAGAGACGGAGACAGCGTCCTTCGTTGCCACGTCCTCGTCGCACGGCGGCGTTCCTCGGCGGCCACCGTGGCTGCACCATGAGGTTGGGAAAACCTCCAAGCGGTCCGGGGCAACGAGGCGGTCGGATACGCAAGGCGGGCTACGGCGGCGCTCGCGGCCCCACACGGCGGCGGGCCGGTGGGCCGCCTGTTGGACAAGCCGCCAGTGGCGTTGTGAAGTCCGCGGCGCTGCTACGGTCGCTGGGGAGTTCCCCTTAAGCCGTGGTCGGGGGATTCTCTGCTGATGGGGGGGGGGGGGGGGGGGGGGGGGGGGGGGGTGGGGAGGTTGCGGGGCTTTGGGGTCGTTGTTAGAGCCCGCGGGAGCCGGGGTTGGTGGGGCGGTGAACGGATGTGGTGGCTGCTACAGGTTGGGGAGGGTTGTGGCGAGCAGGGGGAGTCTGGGATGGATCACGGTGTTGATGGGATGGCTCACGGTGTTGATGGAATGGCTCACAGTGTTGATGGAATGGCTCACAGTGTTGATGGGATGGATCACGATGTTGATGGGATGGATCACGGTGTTGGTGGGATAGATCACGGTGTTGATGGGATGGCTCACGGTGTTGATGGGATGGCTCATGGTGTTGATTGGATGGCTCACGGTGTTGATGGGATGGATCACGGTGTTGGTGGGATGGATCACGGTGCTGATGCGACGGCTCACGGTGTTGATGGGATGGATCACGGTGTTGATGGGATGGATCACGGTGTTGATGGGATGGATCACGGTGTTGGTGGGATGGATCACGGTGTTGGTGGGATGGATCACGGTGCTGATGCGACGGCTCACGGTGTTGATGGGATGGATCACGGTGTTGATGGGATGGATCACGGTGTTGATGGGATGGATCACGGTGTTGATGGGATGGATCAAGGTGTTGATGGGATGGATCACGGTGTTGATGGGATGGATCACGGTGTTGATGGGATGGCTCATGGTGTTGATGGGATGGCTCACGGTGTTGATGGGATGTATCACGGTGTTGATGGGATGGCTCACGGTGTTGATGGGATGGATCACGGTGTTGATGGGATGGATCAAGGTGTTGATGGGATGGATCGTGGTGTTGATGGGATGGCTGACGGTGTTGATGGGATGGCTCACGGTGTTGATGGGATGGCTCATGGTGTTGATGGGATGGCTCACGGTGTTGATGGGATGTATCACGGTGTTGATGGGATGACTCACGGTGTTGATGGGATGGATCACGGTGTTGATGGGATGGATCGTGGTGTTGATGGGATGGATCAAGGTGTTGATGGGATGGATCGTGGTGTTGATGGGATGGCTGACGGTGTTTCTGGGATGTCCCTTATGGGGTCGTAGCAGGGAAGGTGTGGGGACAGCATTCCTGCGCCGCGTGTTTCCTTACTTTCAACTCGCAATGCTCCCCCCCACACCCCCCACTTAACCGCACGTTTGTATCTTCCTTTTTTCCTCCCGGCTATTACTGCGTGCCCTTCGTACCACCGGGTGATGAAGGCGATCACGCAGCGTGTGCGGCTCCCACCCAGCATCGCGACGATCTTGGCCGTCACTGGATGATCTTACAACTTCCCAAACGATTCTCTCAGGTTCCATAGCAATCCTCGAAAGAGGAAATGGATAACTCGGCTCGCATTGCAGCGGCCACCCAATGTTGTGCACGAATTGGTGCACCCCCACACATTCCAGCGTTGTTATCTCGACCGGTCCCCCTTCACACATCCATACCTCTCAACCCACATGGTTTACCCCGTTTTCTTTGTACAGGGAAATTGAGTTTTCAGTTCCATTGTTTTTAAGTTCCACAGTCTCAATACGGGCAAAAACATGTTTTGTCTGTTTGTGTTTCTCCCTTGTCATGGGACTTTGTAGGATGAACGTTGAGATTTATAAGAGGCACGGGGTGACCAATGAGGTCTGAATTGGTCTGTAATAAGGTAGGGCACTGATATTGTGTTGATGGGTATGCAAATCCGCATCGACCGGCCGTGGTGAAGTATGGTCAAACACCCCCCCCCCATGACCGATACCGCAGGAGAGGGCCCCTCAACAATGAATTAACAATACGGCTGCGAGCTCTGGTTGAGCGGAGGTTGTCGCTGAGAAGGCGCCGGGTAAATGGTGACGACACAATGGGCTGCCGGCCATCTTGAGAGGCCTTGCTCCCACCTACTCACCTCTACTCACCGCTACTCACTCACCCCCTTATAGAATCCTCCAACCCATCTAACCATCTCACCCACCAACCTAACCACCCACCTCCCCGCCTCTACTCACTCACATACCCACTTACAGACCCCACCTACCCAACTAAAGCCCTCCCATCTCCCCCGATCCATCCATCCCCCCCCAACAACACCCACCACACCTCCCGCGCCACCACCAAGGACCACCTCCTTCCCTCCCTCCACCTCCCTGCACTTCCCTCCCTCCTCCACCACCACCACCAACCCAGCACCACCACCTCCCCTCCTTCCATTCACCTCCCTCCCCCCTCCACCACCACCAACCCAGCACCACCACCACCACCGCCACCACCTTCCCACCCGCCCTGCACCCCAGCCCCATACCCCGACCCCCCACCCGCTCTCAAAGCCGCGCTCCCAATCCTAGCGGCGGTGCCGGCTCCTGAATCGCTCTTCTGTCCCAGGCTCTCAGCGGAGCGCGGCAGCTTCCCACTCTTTGTCTCATCTCGCTCCCTCCCTCGCTCCTCGCTCTCGCCTCGCTCCCTCCCGCTCGAAGCACGCGGCTCGGCATCGGACCCCGGCGCGTGACGAGTTGAACTCCCGGCTCGCGGGCACGTGTGTGTGTGTCTGTGTGTGTGTCTCCGTGTGTGTGTGTCTGTGTGTCCCCGTGTGTGTGTTTGTGTGTGTGTCCCCGTGTGTGTCTGTGTGTGAGTGTCTGTGTGTGAGTGTCTGTGTGTGAGTGTCTGTGTGTGTCTGTGTGTGAGTGTCTGTGTGTGAGTGTCTGTGTGTGTGTGAGTGTGTGTGTGAGTGTGTCTGTGTCTGTGTGTGTGTGTTTCTCCGTGTGTGTCTGTGTGTGTGAGTGTGTCTGTGTGCGGGTGTCTCCGTCTCTGTGTGGTTCAGTGCCGCACAACGCTCCCCGGCTGCACCACACCGGGGGCATCTTGCACGGCCACCGCAATGGGCGAGCGGCGACTGAAGCCAGCCGCGGCGAGGCTGCTGCTGCTGATGTGTGCACTGGAATGCGCGCTTGCAGCTGAAGCACCTGCTGCTTCTGCTGCTGCTGCTTCCTCTGCTGCTGCTGCTTCTGCTGCCGGCAGCTCTGGGGACGCGAGCCGAGTGAGGGGCCGGGAGCGACGTCGGGGCAGCCAGGACGCGCTGAGAGGGTGAGTCGGCCCCGCGCGGCATTCTCCCAACGCGACTCGGAGCGGTGGAGACGCGCGTCAGGGGTATCGATTCCCTGCAACGCGACACGCAGCCACAACTTTTTGCTTTAAAATACAGGGGGCAAAATCGTGCGTCTGATCACGCGTCCAGGACGGCAGGTGCCGGCTGAGCGGGGCAACGCTGAATTCCCCCCCTCTAGGAAGGAACTCTGTTCAAGAGGCGATCACGGAATTCATTAATTAGCTTCGATTGGCCCTCTAGTCGAGGAATGTATTACAATCCACACGTCTGAGCGAGCAGGGGGGGGCGGGGGGGGGGGCGCGTGGCGACCGCTTTGCGGTTCAGAGTGGGCACCTCGGGTTGCGTTTCGAATTATTTCGAGGAATCGTTGAGGGCCGCTGGTTTTCGGAGTCGGTTCGCGGACCCATGCCGCTTTCCCCCGTCTCGCCCCGTGCCGGCTCGGTCATCGCTGTTGTCGGGATTTTTCGTCGCGAATTCGGTCACGCCTGTTCATTTCCACGTGTCACTCAATCGATCAGATTCTTGTTTTTTTTGTACGTGCCAATATCGCCCGCAGTAAAGTTCGGCATCGGCGCGCATTACCGCGGAACGGGAATGGTACCGGGGGCCGAGGGCACGTCACGCCCTCGGCGGCTAGCGGCGACCCTAGGGCAGGGAACATCGAGACCACGATGGAGGGGTCTCTTTGGGTTAGATCGCGTAAAGCCGCCAGCACCCGACACAGCCAATTAGTAAGGTTAGTCACGTAAACAGAACGTGCCAAATCTCTTATTAGCACAGCACACCGGTGTGTTGCAGAGCAAATCCACAACGTTTGCAAATCCACGAAGGACAACAAACTGAAGTGTATTTGTGTACGTTGAACTTCTTTCGCACCGTACGTAGCCAACCGTGCTAATCGGTGGTGTGAGAAATAATAAACCTGAGAAATAATTTTTTTGAGCCGTGAATTGAACAATCAGAATCTTTATTTTGACTGAAGGAGGAATCCGATGAGCTCTGAAGCTCTTTTGTCACAGATGCCCAGTAGGGGCACGTGGTCAGAAAGTTACCACAACAAAACTAAAACACGATAGCAGTGCAAAGCATGGGGAAGGCAAGCAAGTCACTAAAAATAAACCAAGTCTGTAAGTACAAATTGTAAAAGTATATCAAGGAGAGGGTCGCGGCTGTGCAGACGTCCAGAATGTGGAACCAGCAGCAGCAGAAGCAGCAGCAGAGAGGAAGCGACCTCCCAGTGACCGAGTTGTCAGCTGCGTGTGTTATTGTCGGCTCAGCGCGTTATTTGACACGAGGCTTTGGCTGCTGCTGCTGGAGTGAGGTAAGAGTGGAAGCTGGCAGAAGCAGATGCGTGTCCGGTAAGGCATCGGGGTGAGGTTAGGGTCAGGGAAAAGCGGGGTTTGGCTCGTTTTGGGAGTCTGCTTCGCGAACAACCGTCACCAAACAGAGTGCGGCGGCTTCTCTACCCACTATCAAATATCATCGCCTACTCTCTTGAAACCTCCTCTTAGCTGTTGGGGGAAGGGGGGGAGGGGTTGCTCGGACGAACGCCGACCGCTTGAGGATTTTGTATGCCTGCCGCCAACCGGCGTTTGCTGCCTGGCCAACGTGCAAGCGAAGGGGCCCTCGTTCCTCAGCCGGGCCCCGGCGCAGCGTGGGGGGGAGACGCACGCGCCCGTACCGGACCGCGTCGCTCGCGACGTGCGGATCGCGCCGTCGCCGCCTCTCCCGCTGGGGGTGGCCGGAGCGGCGTCGCGACGTCGATCGCGGGCCCGGGGCAGGGCACCTCGCCTTGGTTCCGCCGGGAGCCGGCCAGCCATGCGGGATTGGCCCGCGAGCGGCACCGGTTTGAAAGGATCGTGTGTGTACGTCGAACTTCTTTCGCACCGTACGTAGCCAACCGTGCTAATCGGAGGTGGGGGGTGACGGGCAACAATCTCAATGCAAAAATCAGATCTCTAGAAATGAGTTTGTCAAAGTGCACGGCTCCAGTGGCTTCCGAATATCGTCCATGATTCCTCCTCGCGCCCCCTGCGTCGTTCCTTCCCTTCGGCAGCGAGCGAATGCTGAGCGCGGCGCGCTGCAAGTTGAAACGATCACCGTCGTCGTCGTCGCCGTCGTCATCAATGCCAACAAGTTGACTCGGAAAGGCCGGGGGGCTCGCTGCACGCGGGGGGATGGCACGAGGCCTCCGAGCGTGGGCGGCGCGCGGCGATCGCGCGATGCGACGGACGACGTTCTGACGGCCCGTGCGCGGAGCGGCCCGCTCATCGTTGTTTCTCCACTGCCCCCCCGACCCCCATCTCCCGGCGGTGTCGGTTGCTGTGCAGGCCCAACGTGTGTGGCTCGCGCTTCCACTCGTACTGCTGCCCCGGCTGGAAGACGCTGCCCGGGGGGAACCAGTGCATCGTGCGTGAGTACCACGTGGGGGGGAGCGGTGCATCGTGCGTGAGTACCACGTGGGGGGGAGCGGTGCATCGTGCGTGAGTACCACGTGGGGGGAGCGGTGCATCGTGCGTGAGTACCACGTGGGGGGAGCGGTGCATCGTGCGTGAGTACCACGTGGGGGGGAGCGGTGCATCGTGCGTGAGTACCACGTGGGGGGGAGCGGTGCATCGTGCGTGAGTACCACGTGGGGGGAGCGGTGCATCGTGCGTGAGTACCACGTGGGGGGAGCGGTGCATCGTGCGTGAGTACCACGTGGGGGGAGCGGTGCATCGTGCGTGAGTACCACGTGGGGGGAGCGGTGCATCGTGCGTGAGTACCACGTGGGGGGAGCGGTGCATCGTGCGTGAGTACCACGTGGGGGGAGCGGTGCATCGTGCGTGAGTACCACGTGGGGGGAGCGGTGCATCGTGCGTGAGTACCACGTGGGGGGAGCGGTGCATCGTGCGTGAGTACCACGTGGGGGGAGCGGTGCATCGTGCGTGAGTACCACGTGGGGGGAGCGGTGCATCGTGCGTGAGTACCACGTGGGGGGAGCGGTGCATCGTGCGTGAGTACCACGTGGGGGGGGGGGGCGGGCGGTGCATCGTGCGTGAGTACCGTCACGAGTGGGAATTGAGGGATGAGACCCCAAAGTGAGACCGTGGCCATGAGTCCCCCCGGGCCCGTGGGACGTATCGCATCGACCGGCCCCGCGCCGAGATCTGTTTGCGAGGGGGGGGCGCTTCCTCTCCTCGCTCAGCGTCTCAGGAAGCCATTGCTTGAGTGGATCGGCCAAACCATTGTCAGCTCCTCCCGCCACGTACGCGAGGAGCAGAAGACGTCGGTGCTGGCGCGACACGTCGCTGTTGAAAGAGGGGTGGGTGGGTCGGCTGCTTATTTAAGGGAATCCAGGTGAGGCCGCTTCGTTGTGTTTTTTTGATTACCGCAGCCCATAAAACACTTCGCAGCATCGTGCAGGAAATGATAATATCCGCAAGCAGGCACAGCAGCCGGTAACGTGTCGTCACGCGTCCGCTGAGCGCTCGCGCAGTCTGCAGAAGTCACGCGCCGTGGAAAGATCTCAGCCCACGCGGCGGTAAACCGTGCTGCTGATGCAAGCGAACGTGGAATAGTGTCCAGGCAGTATGAGAATCGGTGATAACGATTTAAAGTTTTGAACGAAGTTATTCTAATTCTTCTTAATTGTATATTTTGCATTTATTTTTAATCGTTCGTTCTCAAATGTATGCAAATGTTGCTGTGGGACCCTCTGCAATTGTTGTGGGAGAGCACTAAGCCAAGAAATATCTCGAGTCCGTGCTCTCGCATTGCCCTGCCCAGTCGTCGTAGCCATGCCCTTGTGCAAACGTGGCCCAGCCTGGCGCACAAACTCAACAAGGTCGCGTGCACCAAACACGAAGCGCACGTCCACGTGTCCCCGCTCACGTCCACGTGTCCCCGCTCACGTCCACGTGTCCCCGCTCACGTCCACGTGTCCCCGCTCACGTCCACGTGTTCCCGCTCACGTCCACGTGTTCCCGTCACGTCCACGTGTTCCCGTCACGTCCACGTGTTCCCGCTCACGTCCACGTGTTCCCACTCACGTCCACGTGTTCCCCCTCACGTCCACGTGTTCCCCCTCACGTCCACGTGTTCCCGTCACGTCCACGTCCACGTGTTCCCGCTCACGTCCACGTGTTCCCGCTCACGTCCACGTGTTCCCGTCACGTCCACGTGTTCCCACTCACGTCCACGTCCACGTGTTCCCGTCACGTCCACGTGTTCCCACTCACGTCCACGTGTTCCCGCTCACGTCCACGTGTTCCCGCTCACGTCCACGTGTTCCCGCTCACGTCCACGTCCACGTGTTCCCGCTCACGTCCACGTCCACGTGTTCCCGCTCACGTCCACGTGTTCCCGCTCACCCTCCCGCGAATTGCGGAGTGACGCGCGTCGCGTTTTGCTGTCGACGGAGGAGAGCGGCACCTGAAAATGGTACCCGCGCACGGCGCCGGAACAACGCGGCCCTCGGTGCCACCCGCGGCGAGAAAACTGCAACCCCCTAGAAATCCCGCGGCGAGCCCCCCCGCCCGCACCCCCCCCCCCCCCCCCGTCGCGCGCGCAGCACGGCGTGGCGTGCGGGATCGCCCCGTTCCTAACGTCGCGTGCTCTCCCTCCCTCTGCCAGCCATCTGCCGCACGTCCTGCGGGGACGGCTTCTGCTCGCGCCCCAACATGTGCACCTGCTCCAGCGGGCAGATCTCCGGCTCGTGCGCGACCAAGTCCGGTGAGCGGCCGGGCGGGCGAGCGGCCGAGAGCGGTGAACGTTTCCCCGGCCCTCGTCGGTTCGTCCGGACGCGGCGGCTTTCGCGCTCCGCAAAGCGTTCGCGACGTTGGCGCTCATCTCTCGCTCACGGCTCTGCTGAGCTGCTGGTGGAAATTCCCCGTTACTGTGGTGGGGGTTGGGTCACCCATCAAGACCACTGGTCCCCTGTGCGGCCCCCCCCCCCCTCCAGCCTCACTCGTGGCACGAAAAAAACATCTCTGTTGGGTTGTTGCGTGCATTCAAATTGTTCTCCTACATGGTATTCATGCCATAGCCAAACCGAAACAAATCTAAAAACTACTCAACTATTTATATTTTACGAGGTAACGACCGCTGGGCTATATCGAAGCGACCTGGCTACCACAAATGATAGCTCAACAAATTGGCTTATCGTGTGAAAATTGATAGCGGCCAAATACTCTAAACGCGTGGCATTTATCCTAAAACGTGGGGGGGAAAAAACAGAAGACCCGGAGAAAAATCCACGCAACCACGTGAAGAGCATGCAAACTCCAAACATACATGCGTCAGGGTCGGGATCGAACCCACGACTTCCTGTATACCAGGCGAGGTAGTGAACATCTCGCAACCAAGGCACCCCGAGCGCTTGCCGCGAACTCCCAGCGGCGCCGCGGGTGAGCGGGGAAACGGCGCGGTGCAGGGACGACGCCGTCTCGCCAGATATAAAAAAAACGAACCAATAAGAAATACTTTTTTTTTACGTGGAGAGACGGACACTTGAATGTGGCATTGTCCGCTTATTTATTTTACAGCACTGGAATGGGCGCTGCTAATGATGACGACGATGATAACAGCGGGGATACTACAATTGGTGACGCTGATAAAGACATTTAAATTGCTGTTGCTGCTGCTGATGCTGCTGCTGATGATGATGGGTTCACCTTTTCCCCCTTGCCACCCTCCCAATCCTGCTCCCCGCTGCCCGCTCTCCGCCCCGTGTGCATGCCCACGCAGTCCAACAGTGCAACATCCGCTGCATGAACGGGGGGTCGTGCGCCGAGGACCACTGCCTGTGTCAGAAGGGCTACAACGGCGCGCACTGCGGCCAGCGTAAGCGACGCACGCTCGCACGCACACACTCACGCACGTGGTGCACGCACACACTCACGCACGTGGTGCACGCACACACTCACGCACGTGGTGCACGCACACACTCACGCACGCTCTCGCACGTGGTGCACGCACTCACTCACTCACGCACACTTGCATGTGGTGCACCCTCGCACGCACTCACTCACGCACTCACGCACGTGCGCGCGCTCGCTCGCATGAGGCGCACGCACCACGACGGGGTGACCACCACGGAGGTTTCCAATCAAATAGGAGGGTTGAGTCGGGCTGATTCGTCATCCTTGCAGCAGCAGCAGCGGCTTTTGGCTGCTTGCCATGGAACAAAGATGGTCACCGCATCGCGCACTTTCAGATGCGCTGCTGCGGCCGTCCGGAACGTTCTTCCTTCTGACATTAAAGGGTATCCGGTACGATGTGTGAAACATCTCCGGGCCTGGTCTGGACCACACCATGCGGTCTTTAAGGTCACACACGGGATCTTTGTCTTTGCAGCGGTGTGCGACAGCGGCTGTCAAAACGGCGGGCGCTGCATCGGGCCGAGCCGCTGCGCTTGCGTCTACGGCTACACGGGGGCGCAGTGCGAGCGAGGTGAGTGCCCACCCGCGTGCCCTCCCCCCCGGGGGACCGGCGCTCGCCCCACGCCACCCTGGCGTCGGAGGCGATGCCCTTCCACGCGTCTCGGTGGTTTGTTTCATCTTGCGGCGGAACAAAGGACGCGACAACGACGATGACGATGACGACGACGATGACGACGGCGGCGGCAACCGTTGTGGGACTCGTCGCGCCCGGCGTCTCCGCGCGTCGGTCGCGGGCGTCCTGCGTTCACCCCGGCGCCCGCGGGGAACGCAGCGGCGGCGCTCGGGAGATGTATTTATCTCAACCGGGGAAGGGTTAGTCCACGCGCTGGGTGGTTAGCGCTCCCTGCGCCACCACTGGGCCGTTCCGAAAGTTCCTCCAGGTGTTTCCGCGATCCGATGGCCCTGGCCAGGCCTCCTGGAAAGGCTTCATGTTCTTATCGTCGTCATCGAGCGTGATGATGATGATGGTGCTGATGATGATCTTTGAGTAGCATCAGGGTGAAGGTGGGGCCTCCCCTTGGGCAGTGCCCGAGCTATGCGCCGGAAATAGGCCCAGACGTCCATGCCGGATCAGGTCCTCCACAAGCCCAGACGCCGATATTTCACTCATCGGTACCACCTGAGGTGGCCTAACTCTAGCGGTTGCTATTTCTTCGTATGTCCAATATCAGTGAATTATGCATCCTCTGTCTGAAATGAGTGGGGGGTTAGCAGGTAATTCATTCTCATGAGCCATATAAATTAATCGGTACTGCGAGATTTTTGCTGCATTAGGTGGTGCTGATTTCTGCTCTGGCCCACTGTGTGGAATGTAACAGTCATTGGCTTCTTGGTGCTTCGTAGAATTTGACGGTTTAATCCACACGGAGGCCCCCCATACCTGGACTGAGGCGCGGCCAAACCGACATTCTCTGCTATTATATATCCGTAGTGCACTTTTTACACAAATAGGAAAACAATACAAATCCTCATGCATTTTTTGCAAATACAAGCTTGTAAATTGTCCGTGGGGACATTTTCACAACAGCACGCCAAACAGGGGCGATGTGGCCTTAACACACGGGACACACGGAGACAGAGGAGACAGAGGAGACGCCGCTCCAAGCGGGCCACAGACACAGGGCATGACCGGCACCCCGGCCTCCGTGCTGGGCACGCGAGCAAGCGGGCGAGGGCACGCGGAGTTTTCATTCATCCCTGACACCACACTGTCCTCTTAAGCCCTCCGAGGAAGGCTGCTCTTCAGGGGGGGGGGCGATTTTCTCCGTTTTTTTGTTTGCGCGTGTGTCCCCCGCCTCCACGCCCCCATCACCTGATCCCCCCCCCCCTCTTCATAGTGCCGAGCCAAACTTTTCCTTTCACGTCGCCCCTCTTGCCCATCTTGTTTCTTCGTCCACTATTCTCTCGCGTTTCTTTATTTATCGCCCTCCATCCCCCCGCCTACTCTCTTGGAGGTTGAACTTCTTTCCCACCGTACGTAGCCAACCATGCTGATTGGAGATGCGGGGGAAGGATAACAAACTAAATTAAAAAAAAAGTAGAAATTCGTTTTCAATCTAGATGATGATTTAAAAGTGCATAGCTCCAGTGGCTTCCTAATAGCGGAAGAGCGTTCCAGACGGCCGTAGAAGCGCATCTGAAAGAGCGCGACGTGGGGACCACCGTCTTTGTTCGATGGTTAGCCAAAAGCCACTGCGAAGATGACCGGAGTTTGTGTGATGGTTTATGCTACTTGATGCGATCAGCGAGGTATTGTGGTTCATTTGTGGCAAGCACTTTGTGTGTAATGAGTGCGACCTTATAATGTATTTGTTTGGTAACTGGTGTGTGTCGACGCCTCTGTTCCATAAAGCGTCGCGCTCAAAGAGTTTTCCTCTGGTGATGGGGCCGGAGTAATTTTATGGGAAGGCACAAACGCTGTCTCTCGACTCGTAAAGGCTTCACCTAAACTCTGCAACGAGGAGTCATTAGCCGCCGAACGCTCGGAGCCCCAACTTTTTTTCCACAGTGCCCTCCGCCCTCCTGTCTCCCACTCCGAGAGAAGTTGCTCACCTCCCCGGCGGGAGGTCACGAGGTGGGCCTCCGTGACATCCCAATTCACCGCTCGCGAGCGGTAAAGCGCAGAGCGGGCGTCCTCCACGCGTGGCGAGGGGGGGGCGCCAGGTCGGTCCGCCCCCAACGGCGTGCGGCGCCGCACCGGTCGTAGCGCGAGAGACGTTCGTGGCCGTGTCGTGCGTCGTCCCTGTGTGCGCGGAGCGACTTCGCACCCCGCCACGCTCGAGCCACGCCGTCCTACACTGCCCATGCATTGCACTACACCACACTGCACATTGCTGCACTGCACCGAACTACACCACACTACCCATGCACTGCACTACATCACACTGCCCATGCACCGCACTGCACCATCTTGCACCGGGTGGCTTGGGGCCAGGTTGGGGCCAGGTTGGGGCGATGCCGCTGGCTCCGCGTGCCAGCGGCACCGACCGCCACGAATCTCCAACACCCAGCAACGGATTATGTCTGTTCCATTCTCCAGACGTGGAGACAAGAGAGAGAGACTGACCACTCCTCTCCCGCGAGCAGCCTCTTCCTACCCCTCCCCCTCCTCGCCCGGTTCCTTGACCCTCGCGAGCTAAAAGTCAGTGCCCCCGAGGGGCCCTGCCAACCTCCTTCCCGTCCGCACCACCCCCCCCCTGCTCCCCAGCCTGCAGATAAAGAAAATTCCCAAGAGGTCCAATGGATAATTTACTGCACCCGCTCCAAGAGCGTCTTTGTGGCGCGCTCGCCGCTGTGAGACTCCGCCGTGAGACTCCGCCGTGAGACTCCGTCAATGCTCCGAGGGAAATGTCGGCATAAATTTTACGACTGATAAACTTCTTCCCGGTGTACCAAACCAAAAAAACGAAATGAAATCCTCCACGGTATTTTTTTTACTTTTCCTTTTGGCCCATCGAACGGCAAGTCATATAACAAAAAAAGAAAAACACACGCTAAAAAGGTGCTTGTATTTTGTGAGGGTTACAGGTTTTACTTTATTAAATGAAAAGATGTGTTCATTGCCGAGTCGTTCTTTGTGAGAACGGCCAGCGCCAGAAGATTTACTGTCTTGGCATGAGGTAACAATGTACCTCGCGAGCATCAGACAACGAAGAGCGGGGAAAAAAAACTGCGAGCAGATGGCAAAAACTTCTGGATGTCTCACTTGAGAATGTAGGCCAAAATTGTTTAAAAAGCGCTCGAAAACCAGACAGCTTTAAAGCGGTGCGTGCATGAGTGTGTGTACGTGGCGAGTGCTGCACCACGAACTCGGCGACCCCAGTTTGATTCCCTCTCAGATAAATGAATTGGTCCTGGGCTTCCCTTAGGTCGACTCAGCCTCACGTGAGTACCGGGTGCGGTGTACACATCGCCACTAGGGAGACAAAGGCGGCCGGGCGTGGCCACCCACCCCTTCGTGTTTCGTGCTGGCACACGAGGGGGTGCTCGCTAACAGCACATGCCCCAAGTCTGTTAAAGACTACATGGGGGGTGTTCGTCTTTGTGTGTACGTAGCTCACATGGCTTCCTTATGCTTGAAAAGAGACATTGATAGATTGCCTATCTCAGTCGAGTGGGCTTGCCACCATGCTCCCCCCTCCCCACACATCCGTGACTTCTCGAACTGACTTCGCTGTCAGCCCACGGCCGCGCGCCAGGCGAGGCTTTGCACAGGGAGTGACACAGCGCACATTCGCTGCTGCCGCACGTCGCCCTCGGATGCAGTCCGCCGTGGTCGCGTTGGCAAGAGGCGGGTGTCTAGTCAGGAGGGATTTGTTACTAAAAAACAAGCCGCACTGAGGCATTGGCGCTCATCTCCTGCCAGTGGTGGAAATTCCGCATTGCTCTGCGGCGGGGACGAGCCTCGATCTCCTGGACAGCCGCCGGTGATTTGTAGACAAAGTGGAACCTATTTTATCGACCCACCCCGCTGCAGGGATGATGGGCTGAGCCCCCTTGGCTGATCGTCGGGTATACTTGAGGTCAAACCCCAACGTTTAACGAAACCCCAATAATTGGCAGCATCCTGTGTTTAAAACAATCTAGGCAGCGTTCGTTTCTCTGCGTTGGACGTAAATTAAATCTTGTTATTGTTTAGTACAATTAGGGTCGTTGTTTGGAGTATTGCGAGATGAAAATGATTGCCTTTGCAAAGTTCAACGTCGTTTGCCATCACGGTCTTGTTCCTTCTGGGGTTGTTGTGGCCCAGATTAAAGTGCGACAGCGACGACCCCTCGTCACGCTTTGGCAGTGCGCACGCAGCTGACATGTTTTGCCTGCCGGGTTATCGTTTGTAACAGAGGTACACAATGCTTAACGTGAACTTCACGTTGTGACGCGTCGCCATCGCCGCTGCCGCACAATGATCTCTCTTCACCAATTTCTCCGGCGCGTGCGAGAGAGAGACGCTCTATCCCGCACAGACGGAACAGGTGTGGTTCGCATATTCGCTGCGCCGCCTTCCCCTGGCCCGCCGACCCCCTCGGCGCTCGCGTCGATGGGGGACGACGCAAGGCGTCCGTCCCCCCCCCCACCCCCCCGGGTCGACTTTTCCCCGTCGGCAGAGACGACGCCGATTTTACGGAGCCGCTTTTTTACGGCACTTGGGCGCGAGTCTGTCAACCCGCCCGCGTGTCCCACGCCGCCTGCAGCGCCCGCAGCTCAACGCAGAGGACGCCGCTGCCGCTGCTGCCGCTGCTGCCCAACCGACAGCCAGCGAAGAATCCCTCACGCGACCGCGGCGCTGCCGGCGGCCGCTCTGCCGCTGCCCGGCCGCGAGGGCGATCTCCGCCTCGCCAACCGGGGGGGGGGGGCCTCGAGACGCCGGCCAGCCGAGGCGTCACCGACCGGGACGTCCGCCCGCCCTCCCTCCACCATGAAGGCAGGCGGCTCTTCGTCGCAAGCGCCTGGGAGACGTCGCTCCGCTCGAGGTGCTTTGAACGCGTCCCAAGAATGTCGCGGACTTGCTAA